CTCCCTTAGGTGGTTCTGATCATGCAATTATCTCTATAAATCTTTCTTTTCGTACTTCTTTTTTGGGCTCACCTTATCATCGCACCACCTACTACTACCCTAAAGCTGACTGGGATTCTTTTCGTGATGTTCTTTGTGATGGTCCTTGGGCTGATTTTTTTTCTCTCTCAGCTGATAAATGCGCCTCCTACGTAACCTCCTGGATTCAGGCTGGAATGGAAGCTTTTATTCCTTCTCGTCGGTTTCAAGTCAAGCCTCATTCTACTCCATGGTTTTCTCCTTCTTGTGCGGCTGCTATATCCAATCGTAATCATTTTTTTTATCTTTTTCAAAAGAACAACTCTCTTGAGAACAAACGGCTATTTATTATTGCAAGAAATCGATGTAAAAAGGTGCTTTCTGATGCTAAACTCCATTATTCTCAGTTAAATTTGCATCTTATCACAGAAGTTAGGCTCTAAAGACTTTTGGAAAATCTTCAACAGCATTATTAACAAGGGTAGATCTAACATTCCATCTCTCATTCATGGGACTGATCTTATTACCTCTTCCAAAGATAAGGCAGAACTATTTGCAAAGAACTTTTCTTCTAATTCCACTCTTGAATCTTATGGACATTCTCTTCCTTCCATTCCAGTCAAACAGGTTGACCCATTGTTAGACATTCAAATCACTCCGGCTTCTATTGCTAAAGTCATATCTTAATTAAACTCATCTACAGCTTGTAGTCCAGACAACATTCCTGTCACAGTCTTGCAGAATTGTTCTCCAGAACTTTCTTCAGTTCTCTCTAAACTATTTAACAAGTGTTTGACTGAGTCTTGTTTTCCTGCTTGTTGGAAAATGGCATCTGTGGTTCCAATATTCAAAAACTCTGGAGAAAATTCTGACCCCTCCAATTATCGTCCGATCAGTCTTCTTTCTGTTATTAGCAAGGTCTTTGAGTCTTTGATCAACAAATTCCTCACATCTCATCTTGAGTCAAATAAACTGCTGTCAGACAATCAATACGGTTTTCGATCTTCTCGCTCTACGGCCGACTTGCTAACAGCTGTAACTGAAAGATTTTATCGTGCATTAGATGGAGGCGGTGAGGCTAGGGCTATTGCTCTCGACATATCTAAAGCTTTCGACAAAGTTTGGCATGCTGGTCTTCTCCATAAGCTTGCTTCATATGGTGTTTCTGGGAAAGTTTTTGAGATAATCAAATCATTTCTTTCTAACCGGTTTATTAAAGTCATCCTTGAAGGCCAACACTCTTCTTTATTTCCAGTAACTTCTGGGGTTCCCCAAGGTTCCATCCTGGGCCCTGTTTTGTTTCTTATCTACATAAACGATCTTCCTGACAACCTTTCATTTAAAGTAGCTCTTTTTGCTGATGACTCAACTTTATACTCCAGTCTTGACAAAAAGTCTTCTCATTTCGATCGCCTAGAACAAGCAGCTGATCTTGAATCCGATCTCACTTCAGTAATAGATTGGGGTTCACAGTGGCTTGTGAATTTCAACTCTAACAAAACCCAGTTGTTTACTGCAAACAGCTACCGTAATATGGTCAACATTCCTATATTAATGAATGGCAATTCTTTTACTGAGTCCTCCTCTTTACGTCTTCTTGGATTATCGCTTACTACAGACCTTTCATGGAAACCATATATACAATCGATTGCTAAATTAGTTTCTGCTAAGGTTGCTTCTCTTTATTGTGCTCGCCATTTCCTTACTTCTGATTACATTCTCTACCTTTACAAATCTCTTATTCGTCCCTGTATGGAATACTGTTGTCATATTTAGGCTGGTTCTTCTAACGATTCACTTTCTCTTCTTGACAAGGTCCAAAAACGCATTGTAAATGTTGTTGGACCTGGACTATCTGCTAAGCTTGAGCCTCTTTCCCATTGTCGTTAAGTTGCATCTCTTTCTCTTTTCTACAAATACTATGATGGTCACTGCTCAAAGGAGTTATCATCTCTAGTTCCATCAACTAAATTTCATTCTCGTTTTACTCGTCACTCAGCTAAGTCTCATTCGTTTACTGTATTTGTCTCTAAAAACTTTTATTCATCTAGTTTTTTTCCCCGCGTTTCAATCTTTTGGAACTCTCTCCCATCTTCATGTTTTCCTGACTCATGCAACCTTCAACTTTTCAAGTCTTCTGTCAACCGTTTCCTTGCTCTATAACTCTGTTCTTTTTTTTTCCTAGTAACTCCCAACTTAATAGTGGTTGCTTACAGCCTTGTTGAGAGTGAATGCAAATAAAAAAAAATTAAAAAAAAAATTCACAGAATCCAATCACTGTTTTCAAGTTAACATAAAATATTTTTTAACCTTTTGTTAATCTGGCGGGAATTGAAATTATTGTAAGCAGAAGAAAAATGAGCGTTCGTACATGTTAAAATAAATTCATTAAAGAAACCCATTCTACTTGAATAATTATATGCTATGTTTACTTTGTTTTTACACCCAGAATATTTATTAATCAAATCAAATGTGTTTGGTAAAAAGAAAATTACCGAGAACAAAAAAATTCAAATATTGCTATTATTTTAAGATTATAACTATTTTTGTGATTATTACTTATTATATATCAAATATATTATTTTTTATATTATAATTATAATATATTATGTATATTATCTTTTAGTTTTTACTTATTTTATATTATTATTATTTTTTGTTGTTGTTGTTCTTTTTTTAATCATTTTAAATAAGCATTTCGTTACAATATTTGAAATACGAATATATGTTAATAAATATATATATATATATATATATATATATATATATATATATATATATATATATATATATATATATATATATATATATATATATATAATGATTGTTATAAAATAATAAAAGAACGCGGGGACTCGTAGAAGACCAAATGCCTTGTCGTCGAGTACCACTAAAAAATGTTCGTGTTAAAATTTATTAGATATTTACAAGATAAAAAACAAGTTAACGAAGTAAGAAACTTAAAATACTCCGTTACAAATACAAGATACATTATTACACATTGCAGTTGTTAATGATACATATATAATTTTTATTATTTCATGTTTAAATAGAGGGTAAAAAGGAAGATCACTAAAAAATATCAAAGTATATTGTTAAATCTTCAATTGAATAAAATCCTCAGTATATTTTTTAAAAGTATTTATTCCATAAGAATGGTCCGCGATAATCAATACAAAATTTAAAAAGATTTGTTTGAAAAATGGGCTGCTTCATAAAATTATCATTGCGTAAAATGTATTTATTTTTATCTTTTGATAAATACAAATTATGGAATGAAATCGGGGATTTATTGGTTTTACATTTAAACATAAAACCAAGGAATATTAAAAATATTAAGCTCATATATATTAAAAACTTTCATTTCAAATAATAGAGGCTTGGCATGAGTACAACGGTCTTTAAAATATATAAGACGTGCTAAATGCTTTTGCTGACAATAAAGAGGTTTAAGTTTATTTTTATTTGTACTACTCCAAGCAATTTTTGCATAGTTTATGCGACAATGAATAAATGAGATATATAATTGTACTAAAGTATCTTTATTTAAAACATATCTTGCTTTGTACAAAATTCCTATACTTTTTGAGATTTTACTTGATAAGTTTTTAATGTGATTTTTCCATGTAAGATTCAATACAAACACCTAGAAAGTTGGTTACTGTTACTTGTTTAATTTGTATATTGTCAATAACAAGTTGAGGCATGTTAATTGGCTGTTAATTTTTTTTTATAAGAGGATGGAAACAAATCCATTTATGTTAAATTTTTTGTTAGTCTTAAACCAGTCAGATTATATATATTAATTATATACATTATATATGTTAATTATATAGATTATATATATTAATTATCTTCAATATTAAACTTTAATCTTTTGGCACTGATATAAAATATATTTTGGCAAATTACCATTTACATTTAATGCTTTGTGTCTCATACCCCTAAGTTTTATCTTTTTACTTCTTATAGCATTTTTAATATTCGTTATATATTTATTTTATTAACCTAAAAGAAAAGTATACAAATATTTTCAGTCGACATTGTACTAACACAATAAGTAAGCAATCGGACAATTGAAGACCTCGGTGCAAAAACGATGTAACTCCATTTTTGAAAATTGTTCAGGAGAAAGAAAAAACGGAATATTTTTATATGTATTTTTCTACCAAATCATGTGTTTAATTATTCCAGAAGTGCTTTAATCTATGTCATTTTTATATTAACTGATAGAACTTCTTTTTTATACTCATATTCCATTAAAACCTAAAAATTGATAAAAAGTGGAGTTACATCGTTTTTGCACCGAGGTCTTCAATTAAGATGTGGTTGGACATAAGTTTTCATACTGTGTTTCGTAGCTATGGGCAGGGCTGGCGCGAGTATGTGTCACGAGTTGGTTTTTCAAACGGGTTTTTGGTGCTATTGAAACTTTTGCTGATTTAAAAAAAAAAAGTCCTCATTTTTTGAAAATTTCCGACTGACTGGTCTAAAATGTCTACATTTACCGAGTGACTTGTCTAAGAAGATCAAATTCGTCGACTAAAATTTTGGGCCGGCGCGAATGAAGGTCTCACACCTCCTTCGTGCCGGCCTCGGCTATAAGAAGATAATTTATACTATACTAACAAAAGACAAAGTAGTAGCTGAAAGAAATAAAATTATTTGAAAATAACTATATCCCCATTTTCAACAACACTCAAATTTTCTATAATCATATTTTTTTTTTAAAGTTGATTTTACTTTTTTTATTTCCAGTATATCAATGTAAATCGTTGTCAAAGGCTAGCAAAATAGTTCTTTTGTTTCATATATTTTATCCGGTATATTTATATTTTATATGCACAGTTATATATAGGTTATGTTGATTTATTTTTATTGGCTTATTTTTATTCTTTATTATTGTAATATTTGATATTGTAAAAGGCTTCATGATAAGATTGTAAGGTCTTCTGGAAGTCCTGCCGATTATATTTGTAATAAAGCTATTCTGTAATTTTTTTATTGGCAAATTTAAAAAAAAAGAGATTTTTTATAAAAGTTTATAAGAAAATTTCATTCAGCCGAATCAAAACAAATAAACGATGAGGTGATTGCGAAGAACATCGGTAAGTCTAAAAAACTTATTATTCTTAAAAAAATGTGCTAAAAACAGAATTAAAAACAGTATTTTTTAAAAAAATATTAAAAAAAAATAATTTTAAAACTGTGCTCCATTTAAATTTTTAAATCATTATTTAATGTTGCGAGATCAATAATTGATAATCTTCATTTTTTGTCACTTGGATCTGTAATTATTTTTTTATAAAGTTTGACAATCTTGTTTTTGAATTTAAAATATCTAATTTATTTACTTTAAGAAGTTCTAGTAATTATTTAAGTATTTACTTAAAGAAGGTTTTAGAAAAACTTTTAAGAAACTTTTGGATCACATACTTTAGTACTGTGTTTATTTTTGTGTTAAGAAATATTTTGAATGTTTTTTAAAAATGTTTTGTTATTTAAAAAATATTTGAAATAATATTTTGACGGGTTTAAAATAAGGAATAACATATCTTAAATAAAAACTAACTATGCTAAAACAACACCATATTTACAAATATTTCAAATAGCTTGGAAATTATAATAATATATATATATATTTTTAATAGTACTCAAAACCAGTAGCGTAGCGATAAAAAAAACCCTTAAAACAAAAAAAATATATATACATGAAAACAAAAGCCTTATTTTTAAATACTATTTTGATTTAATTTAATGGAAACAAGTATGTTACATATTGTATAGCTAAGAATTTGTAATTCTTAGCTATACAATAATAGCAAAAATGTGATTAAATATATTTGAAAAATTTGGCTTGGGCCTCTAATAAGTCTGGCCCCTCCCGCAGCTGCGGGCCCTGCGGGCCCATCGCTACGCTTCTGTTCAAAACTAGAAAAACAAAAAAAAAATGCTGATTATGTTGTTAGTTTATCTTAAACAAACTAAACCTTACCAACCTTAGTTTTAACCACTAGACAGCATTAAAACAACTCAAGTTTAATCATTGATATCTTTTTCAAAATGTATACACTTTTTCAATAGAAGCGGTTTTGGTTATCATAAATGCATTAAAATCAGTTTTAGAAATATAAAAGCCGGGTTTAGAATCCCTAATTAAAACTAAGAGCGAAAATAGTTTGAAAAACTCTTATCAAATATAAAAAAGTTTTTATCAAATATAAAAAAAGTCGACGTTGTTAATTTAATGAACTTTATCTTGTTATAGCTAGAAGTTGTACATTTACACTTCTGCTGTTTTATGGTGAAAAAACCCCATCTGGATTAAAATTTAAAAAGCGACTAAGTTCAAAGAAAAATTGTATATAAAAAAAAGGAAGACATTTTTCGAATTGTTTTAGCCTATTGAATATCTTTAAAACAAATGTTTTTCCCAGCATCTTTTTTAACAGCGTTAAAAATTAAAGTGAATTATCATGAATCGGCAACTATACTTATCGAAATTAGTTCCTCGTAGGGAATAATTAATTTTTTTTTGTTTTTATTTAGATTAGATTAACTTTGCATTAAACACCACAAGTACCTTGTAATTAAAACAGTACTCCATAACTTTATTAACAGCGATACTTATACCTTATCTTTAAAATTGATTTCATTGGTTAGCCAAAAACCGTGACAAAAGACATGTTTTATTTTGTAATGTGTTTTACAAACGTTTAAAATTTTTATCTTATATTTTTAAAACACGTTTTTCATTAATTTAAAACATTTTGCATATTTCAGGTAGAAAGAGGTAAATTTTTTTAACATCTTAAATTTTTTATAAATAAAAATGAATTTAAAAATCTTAATTACATGTTTTGTAAGGAAAGTGAATTTAAAAATTTAAACACTTAGCCCAGCGACTCTTTTATTTTTGAAATGAAATAGTAGTAAATCGTAAATCAAACCTCAAACCAAAGTTTGATTTCAAATCAATAACTTAAGAAAACAAAAACGAATTGCTTACTGCGTAATTTTTTTTTTGTTTTAAAATCTTTTTTTTTTTAAATAATTTTAAACCAAGTTATTGGTCTAAAATTGGCTCATGGCAAAATCAAGCTCATTTACAGTTATCTTTCTTTTTTGTTTTGTTTTTTAGACAAAACTATTGCCATGTAAATTAATACATAGCAAAAGTTTTAAGCAAAAACGATGCTTATTATGTTAATATGTAGCATCACTTTTGTAATTGTTGCTAATCGGCACATCAAAGTTTCGCGACGCGACGACGCGCAGTTCGTTGAAGAAAATAATAGTTATTATTAATAGGAACAATTTTTTTTATTGATGCATGTTAAGACAACAGAGTAAAAATAAAACGACGGTTGAAACAGCACTGAACAACAATAAAGTAAATATTTTTATGTTTGAAAGATATTTAAAATAAATTGTAGGAACCTGTTTACAACGGAAATGATTGTCAAATATTGCGTGGTGTAGCGTTTAGAGTTTTGGCTTTAGAACTGGAAGTTCGTGGTTTAAAGCCGGCTCTGGGCATATATGCGTCATTGGTAAAGAAGGAGGCGTGAATATTGACCTATTTCGAGGTGCTCTGTGATAAGATCGTAAAGTCTTCTTTGAGCGCCTAGATCGTTAAAAAAAAGTCAGATATTTGCACTAGACAAATTAAAATTTGATAAAAAAAAAATCATCTTGAGCCGTTTAGAAAAAAAAAAGCAACAACAAATTTCAATCGGAAGCTAGTTTCTCAAACGTTTGCTTAAAAATGACAAAATTTTATTTGAAAAATCACAAAATCGTATTTGAAAAATTACATTTTATAAGAAATATTTGGTTTATTCTATTTCACAAATAGTTAGGGTTGCCAGACGTCCGATTTTTACGGACGAGAATACAGCGCAAAACGTGTAAAAATAATTTTTTTTACTGAGTTCTTCATAAAAGCCGGACATCTAGCAACCCTACGATTAGTTCAATTAACTAAGTTACACGTTTTTTTTTTTTTTGTTTTCAATAAGAAACTTGCTTATAAGAAACTCGTACTAGAAGTACCAAAATCTTCAAAAACTTTTATTATTAAGTTACTTTTCTATAAGAAACTTATTTTAGTATCAAGTTACTTTTCAATAACAAACTTATTTTATTAGGAACTCAAATAATATTTGCTAATTTTTCAGCGACATCGTTTTAACATAACACAAATTTTAAAAATATTATCTAGAACGGAGAACAAAAATTTTAGTTTACACGCGCAATCGATTGGAATCCCATTCGATAGCGCTTTGTGATGGAATTTCATTCGATTATGATTAAAATAAGTAACAAACTCATGAGACTCTTAAAAAACTTTTGGTGCTAGATTGGGAAAATAAAACTTATAAAATAAAATACTTTGTAGTACTAGCCTAAAAACGTGTAACTTAGACCCTATAGTTACCTACCAGATCTTTATATCAAATTCCTTTATTTTAACTTTATTGAAATTCGATTCAAGTGTTCTTGCAATGAAATGTCCTCAAATGTACTTTTTCTGTACCAGCAATATTTAAAGATATTACGTTAAATATTACTGGTATTATTACGTGCCATTGCATGACCAAATATGAACAATCCTAAATTAGATAAGATAAATGTATGAATTAGACATGGATATAAGTTAATTGATATTTTGTGTAAAACTCAAAAAAGGTTTTTTTTGTTTGTTTTACTGTTGCTAAGTATCAAAACTTTTAGATCCTTTCTGTAATCTATATATCTCAAGATAATTATTTTGAACAATTTTTTATTAGCAAGAATAAACAGAAGCAATTTATGCGTTGTTGTAAATCTGTTTTTTTTGTTACTCAAAATATGTAAACTTGCATGAGTTTTATGAATTCTAGACTTTTTTATGAGGTAAAAATTTTTTGCGAAATACTGTGGTGCTCAGAGACCAGAAAAACATTTCTAAAATCTTAATAATTTTGAAAAAATATTTCTAAGTTAAATTAAATAAAAATAGCGTTTATAAATTAATGTATTCATATACAAAGTATGAGAATATTAAGGTATTTATAAATTCAATATAGCAAACAACTATTAATTTTTTAACGAAAGATTTTGAAACTTTTATATAGCTTGGTATTCCAAATTTTTTTCTAATCTTTTTTGTTCTCATAAATGGACCAGAGAAGACAAATTTCAGTTCTTTCATTGTTCCAGATTTTGCAGAATTTATATAAAAGTATCTATGTATAAACATATTTGAATAGCTTATGTAACAAGCAATTTTAATTTAGTGTTTTACTCAATTAATTACTTTCTTGTCTATTTAATTGTATACTTTGTTATACAGATATATATTTAAGTATATACCTTGTTATGCAGATAAAGAATTAATACATACTTATCTACATAATTACCTATTTATCAAATGACCTATTTATGCTAAATTTTATCTTTAAAATTCAAAGTCATCTTTTGCCTAAAATTACATCGAAGCAAATCTAATAAATGTTAGAATTTTTTTATTTGCAACTTTAGTCCTCTATATTTTTATTAAAACCAATAACAACTCAGAAAGGTTTTCATTGGTCAATGATATCAGATCCTTAAAGGTTTTTATTGGTCAATGATATCAGACCCTTGGAAGAACTATATAGTTTATGAACCGTTTGAGTAGAAAAAATAGTAAAAGTAAAGAAAAAAAAAGTAACTTTCAAAATAAATACTTTTTTGGTTATTTTAATTTTTTATTTTATTATGTAAGTATTAAAAATGTTAGTTTCCAGTTTTAAAAATTTTTAGGGATTTTTATCGATTTGATACAGCTGTTTATACACACAAAAAAAGTACCGCTGAGAACATATGTTTTTTATTTTCACTCCATCGAGAGTCTTTATATCAATTATACTTATTTGAAACATTAGTTTGTTAAAAAAATTATAACAAAAGATTAATTTTAAACTTTGTTTTAAAAAATAATATTTTTTGATGTTGTCTTGATATATGTCGGTCATGGCAGTTTAATTGAAAACCTTCTAACGCATTGCTACAGTTTAGCTGAAAAGCTTGTTAATATTTACCTAATTACTTTTAAAAAATTGCTATAAAAAAAATGTAATGTAAAGAAATCTAGTAAAAAAAAATTAAATTAAATTGTTTCAACACCACCAGTTATTTTAGCAACTGTAGCAACTGTTGCTGTAGCAACTGTTACAGCAACAACTGTAAGCAAACCTTAGTAAACTACTTAAATATTATTAGATAGGCAACCAAGCAAAGATCAGTAGTCAATCAACCAAATCAGCTATCATAGCTGATTTGATTGATCACTTAAATCAACTGTCATAGTGTAATTAAAGTGTGTCATAATATAGATTTAAAAAGTTGAGTAAAACCAATATTTTTATACATATATTTCTTATAATACAGTATTCTTTTCAGTTATTGAAGAGATATTTGTATCATTGTAATAATAAGACCGAATCAAGGTAAAGAAAACTCGGAGAAAAAAAAAGAAAACCTCGGAGTTCAAACAACTATAATTTAATCTTGAGCGTGCCATATGCGCCGTGCAATATGCGCCGTGCAATATGCGCCGTACAATTTTCGCCGCACAATCTGTAAAAGATCCATCATGAGTAATTATAAACGGAATATTTTATGCAGAAATATGGTTTCAATTTTACATAAAAATAAATATAATTAAATACAGACAAGTGTTTGAAAATCTGTAAAACAATATGATATATAGAGTTTTCCCAAACAAAGAAAATACGTGTATCATATTCTCTATTGATTTCTATATCTCGTATTTAATTGCTTAGTTAAGAATTATTTTGCATACGGATACTTTCACACAAACAATTCATAAATTTTCTGTTTACTTTCACACAATATTTACAGAAAATTTATAAATACTATTAATCTTACTAAAAATATGAAATAGCGATAGTATCTTTTCTTTTTTACAAATGGGGTACTAGAGAATTTTATTTAATCTCGTTCTAAATCATTTTCGAAGCGTCATAAAAACTATTAGACATAATTAGACATAATTTAACGTTAAATTGTTTTGATCTAGATAAAGTATAAAAATAAAAATTTGCGCAATATTAATTTACTAAAATTTACCTCCCAAAAAATTAAAAATATAGTTAATATTGTCAACCAAGTGTTCTATCTATCATTCATATATCTATCATTCTTTACAGTTTCCTAGCTTCAAATCCAAAATTACAAATATGTAAGTATGGCAAATGACAGTATGGCAAGCAAAACTCTATTATTGGTCTAAACTCAAATTGATTGATTAACTTTTGTATTTTTATTCATTTCAAACACAATATGTAAGAAGTAAGAAAAGAAATTGGAAAAGTTTGTTATACTTATATTCGTCGAATCTGTTTAACTGTGCTTGATTATTTTTTTTATTCATTTATTTCATTTTCTATATATTTACTTTTATTACTGTTTAAATTATTTTAATTAAAAAACACTTTAATTTAGATAAGAAAAAACGTACAAAAACGATTAACAACTTTTAATCTCCGATATTGTTTTAAAATAACCTTTAAAAAAATTATAATTGACTATGCTTTCAAAAGTTTATATAATTTTTCTAATTTTGTATTAAAGTATATTTATGTACTAAATTTTGTCATTACTATCTTTAAACATTTTATTAACTGTAAATACTCCTTTTTTTAAAAACTGAATAAATTATTTTCTTATTATTTTAATATTTATTAATTATTCAATATTTATTATTTCCTATTTGCATTTTGCGTAGCAAATCTTCACACCAAATTTAAACGAACAAACAAAATTGAATCGAAACATAAAAGAACGAGCTGCATACTAGTAAACTTCAACACGTCGACTGTTGATTTCGTTGCGTTTTTTTAAGCAAAAAAAATAGATTAGTTTTTTAAAGTATTTCGTTATTTTCATATTTTATTTTGCTGCTTTGTAAACATTTATTGAGTAAATGCTTTTATGTTTCATCTTTGGTTATTTTAGTTTTGTTATTTCAAAATTAATATTAAAAAAAGTATAAGATTGTGATTTTTACCTTTTTCATTTATAATTTTTTTCAAATATAATTTTTTATTTATAATAGGTATGAACAGTTCGACAGCATGGTTTGTTTCCTCTCTTGTTTGCTTAGTATTTACAGTATTCAACATTTTAACAGTGATTGTTATTCTATGTTCAAAAAATCAAAGAAATAGAGTTACTACTTGTCCTATACTTTATTTTCTCGCCGCCTCTGCCCTTCAAGGTTTTGCAGCATTTCCTTTATATGTGTTTAAAAAGATAGCTTACCAAGAAGATGTACCAATATGGCTATGCGATGCATCTCGCTTCACCTATATGCATTCTGGACATGTCTTAAAAATCAGTTTATTACTTGTAAGTTGCGATAGATTGTTTGCAGTCAAATACCCATTTAAATACCGTGAGCTTGTTTCGCGAAACAAAATGATTATCATCATACTAATCAGTTGGTTAATAACTGTTAGTATAGACTGTGTGCCTTTTTTTAACAAAAATGAAAAATTTGAATCATGTCATTACTTTCCCAGCCATGTTTGGGGATTTTTTGTAATTATTTGCTATGATATTTTTCCGTTTTTTATAATGGTGGTAAGTTATATAACAATTTGGAAAATTGCCGCTCGATTAAGTTTAGCAGATAATAGTGTAAAAGTTGATATGAACAGAAATAAAGATAAAAGTGCTTTGATAATGACAAACACTCGCTCAAAATCGAAAGTGGACATTCTTCTGCAGATGAAAGCGACAAAAACATCATTAACACTTATTGTTGTTCATATTGTATGTTGGGCACCTTTGGGGGTATTTTACACGTACGACCATTTTTGTAAAAACTGTTGGTCTAGAGCAAACAATCTGGAAGAAGTAAGAGCAGCTATAAAAATTCTTTCTTCAACTTCCAGTTTTTTTGCTCCAGTTATTTATTGTTGGTTTAACCACGATTTCTTCAAAGCGGCACAAAATTTACTACAAAAATGTGGATGCATATTTCTTTCTTATAAAAAGAGTGATCATAAACAGAAAGAAACGTTAACTCTAGTACATACAGTTTCATTAAATAGTAATTAACAATTTGCATTTTTTCTTTGCGTTGTTGAAAATCTTCAAAAAATTTTAGAAAAGTTGTGCAATTTTTAAAGGATACATAAAAAAAAACTTATTGGCTGGCCCAATTGTTTGAGATTTTATTTTTACAAAATGGTATAGTTATCAATAAGTAAGCAATGCTAAATTATTAAGATTGCATATACATTGAATTGCCAAAAATGAAGAAAAGTATAAAAATATTAAGAAAGTCAGATAAATAAATATTAAAAATATGGAGAAAAAGACTATCGATATAACCGCTGGCCGTTACCTCCACTTTATTGATGTTGATGAACTCAATTATTTTTAATATCAATTAACAAAAACTCAAACTCATTGAAAGCCTATAAGACAAATTAAAAAATAAAAATTGTAGTTGCTTTCCTTAATCAATGAAAATTGAATCTCGAAATATATTTTCAATAATATATTATTTGAAATCAGAAATTATCAGGTAGCTTAAATGCCAATACTAGTAAAACTAAAAAAAGTATATAAAAATACTATTAAATCTAAACTTTAAAAAAAATATTTTTCAATTTACCATATAAATGTTTTATTTACTTTTATTTTACTATTTTTTTTTTTTTTAGTGAAGTTGTTAAACAAATTCTACAAAACGTTGTGAATTTAATTAACTTTTTTTTTCATAAAGAAAAACTTTTTCTCATTATACTTTTAGAATACTTTTCAACAGCTTTTTTCCTATATTACCTTTTTCACTGTGTATGATAATGTTTTATGTCGAAATATCTTTTGTTGGCGTTGTAAAAGAAAGTGAAACTTTTTTTCTCCAAACGTAAATTTAGTATGAGTTGATGGGCAGTTTAACTTCAATTATTGCTTTAAAAAAAAATATAATCAACATCCTGTATCAAAAGACCTTTATTTCATTCGACTTTTTTTAGCTCCTTTGAAGCTAGATATTGATTTTTAGAAAGATTACTAGCTATTTTTACGAACTTGTTTAATGTTTTGCTTACATTTTGTTGCAACAATTCAGCTTTTTCGATGTTAAAATTATTTTCTAATTGTGTTTCGTTTGATGTTTTTAATTTGTATCCATCTATTCCACTAGATAAAGTGACGATTGCTATAATTGATATTTTAAACAAAAAGATGATCTCTTTGTGCGAACTAAATAGTCATTAGTAGATATTCACCATGTTATTGAACTTTGTGAAAGTAAATGTTACTTTTTATGGGATGAAAAATTTCTTTAGTTTTCTTTCATAAATTTTTAGGATTCTTTATTTACGACTTATTTTTTATTTAAGCGGTCTTGCAGTAATTATTTTTTTTGCGTATAAAAATTTACTTATTATTTTTTGTCAGTCATTGTTTTATTTTTAAGTTATTTAATTATTTTTACATAGGAATATCTAACTTTTTATAGTGTTATATATTTTTTGTTTTTATTTTCGTTTTAAGCATTTATTATAAATGTTTTATTCTACCGTGTATTATTACTCTTTTTTTTTTTTTTTTATTTTTTGTTTTTTTCTTGTTATTGTTGATGTTGTTTTTTGTTTTTATTGCCAAAAGAACTTAACGTAATATTTTGTTTTGCTTGTAATGTTTGTTGTAACTTTTGTTTTGCTTTGATTTTCTCAGTGTTTTTCTATTTATATTTTATTTATTTACTTTTTCATATTATTTTCAATATATTTCGGTTATTATATTATAAGAAAAATATATTTACAAAATCCTTATAATTTTTTTTAGCAGTGGTTTTTATGTCATCGTTAGTTGTTACGTTTTGTCAGTTGATTACTGTTTGTAACTGTAACTTTGTATGTAAAAAACGATTGTTGTATGGAAAATTATACTGATTTATTTAAGTTATTTTAATTACTATATTATTATTACTATTGTTAAAATAAGATGTTATTATTATTTATTATTATTATAGATATTATCTTTATTATTATTACTATTTTAATCATTATCATTAGGTGTTTACGTGATGTTAGTAGTTTATACTATTTGTAAACAACCTGGAAATGTAAGACCAAAAATTTCAGAAATATAATATATATTTGATTAACAATGTATTTTGATAATTCTTTTTTTTTAGTTATTGTTACTAAAATAGCAGTTTCAAAAAAGTAGCAGTAGTTTCAAAAAAGTAGCAGTTTCAGCATTTTTTTAAACTATTTCCTAAATTGTTTTTTCTGTTTTAACAACTCTATAGAACGTCTATAGTTAGCTCTTAGCTTCCTATTTTTTCTACTTTTACTAAAAGTAGAAAAATTATGAAAAATAGTTACCACTTAAAATGCATAAACTTTCTCTAAAAGTTTAAGAGAAAATATTTGCATTTTAAGTAGTAATTACTCTTTAAATAACGAAATAAAATTATTATTGTTTGTTTATATTAAGACCTAACTTCTGTTTGTTTATGATAGATGTTATATTGACTGAATAGCAATGTTATAATATTTATACTTTTAGTGAGGTCACTGTCAATCAAAAATTGTGAGGTTCAAATATTTATATAATGAATCTTCAATTTTAGTGTGGGCTTTTAGTGTAAACTGAAAAATATTTTTAAAAATTTAAGTATTATTCATACTCCTATATGATAACCACTAAATAGAAAATAAATTTACTTACTTCTGATATGATAGATTATTATATTGTATCATTTATTTTCTCTTTAGTAGAAAAGTTTACGTGGTTTGAGCAATAATTTTTATAGTTATATTACATAATTTTCTAAAATCCGCGCAAATATATTTTTTATTGTTAATTAAGTTTTGCGTGTTTAATTTCATTTAATATTTTATATACAGTCCAGTCAGTTGCAACAAAAATAAAGCAGCAGGAAACAGCCAAGTACACATGCAAGTGATAAATTGATTTTTTGTGACGCTTTTACTCCTTTAAAATTTAGATTTTCCTATATAATAATTAAGTTAATGACTATTTCTGTAAATATCGTTCTGTAAATAAAGATTGCAATGATTTTTAAAACTAATAGTTATTTTTTTATTTATCACAAGATAAACTGCAAACTCTGTACTTTTAGATATGATTCTAATAGTTGAACATCTGTCAGGTATTTACCTTTTAAATCATAATCTAATTGCTCAGGCTTATGAAAAACTATTTATAAAAATTCAACACTTAAAAAATAATGTAAGATTAAAGGTAATTCCTGTTTTATTTGAAAGGTACGTTGATAATTGGTTCGATTCTTTAAAGTTTAAATCAGTTAAAAGAGAGTTCAAATTGTTCTGTTTTTATCTTATGCTCTATATCTAAAAGCTATTGAAATATTTATTGCTTTTTTATTCATTTATTTTATATGTTATGAAAGACCTACCAAGCCTGAAGTATATATATAGTATGTATATGTATATAGTACATATACATATATGTATATAGTATATATATAGTATGTATATGTATATAGTGTATATATATATATACATACTATATATATACTATATACATATATATATACTATATACTATATACATATATAGTATATATATGTACTATATACATATATATACTATATATGTATATAGTACATATATGTATATGTATATGTATATAGTACATATATGTATATAGTATATATATAGTATGTATATGTATATAGTATATATACATATATGTATATAGTATATATAATATATAGTATGTATATGTATATCATCCCTCGGAATTAGGAAAACTAAAGTCAGCAAAAAAAGTTAAAAAACTAAACGAATAAACTTATATATATATATATATATATATATATATATATATATATATATATATATATATATATATATATATATATATATATATATATATATATATATATATATATATATATGTATATATATATATATGCTGTACAGATATTGTTATAAAGTAACAGAATACTATATATATATTGTATTACTATGTTTATGAAGGGCAATGCAGTTGTCATGCAGTTATGCAACTTATCAGTTATCAACCCATAACTGCGATAACTACAAGTTTTTTTAATAAGGTTTTTATTATACAAATGTTATATATTTTACAGAGTTTTAAAGAAAAGTTCTCTGTACATTGTACTTATGTACAATCTTCTAAAATCAATAAAACTATGGATTTATAAAGATTTATGGATTTATGGATAATACATATAATAATAAACAAAATGATTTTTCTTGTATTTTAGAATTAAATAAATAAAAAATTTGTTTAACGTTGGATTTTTTTATGAGTATTTAGATAAGGAATCATCCATAAATTACGTCACGCATTTTTTGACAGATTTTGACCTCCCCCTCCCCTCGTCACAAAATCGTAACACTTAAGAAGCAAGTTTTGTATGAGTCGTCACAAAACTACCAACCCCCCCCCCTTCCTTCTCCTTATAGCGTGACGTAATTTATGGACGGTGCTTAATTAAAGCAGCTTAAATAAAATAAAAGTTTGATTCGTTTATCAGTATTTCATAAATTTATGCTTCTTAAGCGCCGTAAAATAAAGTTAAACGTCGCGAAGTTTAAAACGAAAGATTTAGATGGAGTTTAAATAGCATTTAAAACGAACTATTTAGATATGGTTCAAATGGAATATTCGATTGACCTACGTTCTAGATCGAAACTAAATTAAGTTTTTAATGTTCGTTCGTTTAGTTAAAGTTCGTCCTAAACATTTAGAACGAACATTAACTAAACGTCGATTAAATGTTCAAATGCCCGCTGGGTTGGTTTTAAAAGTTACGTTCTAAACATATTTTAAATGTTTTTTAAACGTCTTCTGAACATTCTTATGAAAAGAATGTTCAAAAGACGTTTTTAAAATGATTAAAAGACATTTTGAACGTAACTTTTAAAAACAAATGCTCTAGGGTAATATTGACAACGCAAATTCTTTTTTAGTTATTTTAAATTTACAAGATACAGCCATTCAGTATACTATTAAATGGCGAAATTCTCAAAATCAACTAAATTTTCAAGACGTTTGTATTTCCACTAATCAACTTCTTCATAAATACAAATTTTCAATATATCGTAAACAAACAATTACTAATCTATTAATTAAACCACATTCTTCAGTTTCACCAAATATAGCAACAAGTATTTTTAAAGGTTTTCTTTAAAAAGCATATAAAATATGTTCAGAACAAAATATTCAGAATGAAATTGAGTTTCATCTTAATGTGTTTTCCCAAAATAGACACTCATACAAACACTTTTTAGATATCGCTAAAAATTATAAACTATCGCATAAAAATAAAAAAAACTAGCAAATGGACCCAGAAAAAATTGTCATACTGCCGTGGATAACGAAACTAGACATTATGCCAAAAAAAAGAGTTTCGTAGAGTAGGCATAAAAACCATTTTTCGCTATAGTAATTCTTTACTTAGCATTTTTGGTCTCAATAAATCCATATTGCATCCAAATAGTTTATTTATTTAGTTAATTCTGGAGTTTATCTGTTATTTAGTTAATTCAGGTGTTTAACATTTAGATTGTAGGGTAGAGCGGGGCTAGTTGAGCAATTTTTACTAAATCTAACAAATCGCATAAACGGTGTGTCGGGTTTACATAAATTTTTCACTATTTGAAAGATAATTTAACTTGTTAAAAATTTGTTAAGAAAAAAGTATACTTTTTGATTTTTTAAAAAACGATAACGCCTAAAGTTTGCGGAGCTGCTCAACCTGCCCCGAGCTAAGTTGAACAATAGTGCAGGGTAAGTTGAATAACTCATCAATCGTCAATAAAACTTTCGCTAACGTTTGCGTGTGTTTAATTTACAAACTTCTTGTTTTATACACTTTAATGACGTAAATATGAGAAGAATAAAAAAAATTTTGAACAAAAAAATATTTTGTATTTAATCTACTGACGCTAAAAATTTTACATAAAATTTTTAATGATTTTATCTAAAAAAAATTTTCAATCAATTTGTATAAGCCCTCGCGAACGATCACACCTTTTTACATTGATGCAATCATCATCAGTTTTACAGGCTACCGACTGTTTTGATCCGTTGGTGTTTGACCAGCACCAATTACCCTAGAATGAAAAGAGAAAAAACGTTAGGTACACGGTAAAAAAAAAAGCATTACCTAGATAATGTTTAAAAAAAGTACAGAAATAGAATGGATTTCACATTTTGAGATAAAACTTTAAACAAGTAGATAAAAATATTTACTAAATAATGTTTAAAAAATGTACACAAGTGGAATAAACTTTACACAAGTAGATAAAAATATTTGCTAGATAACGTTTAAAAAAAGTACAGAAGTGGAATAAACTTTACACAAGAAGATTAAACTTTGTAAAAGTAAATTAAACTTTGTACAAATAAAAAACCACACATTTGCATAAAGTTATCAGTAGAGTTAAATGCTCCAAAAAAATTTTTTATACAGGATATTAGATTATTGTGTTGCAGGATTTTTAGGGTTTTTAAATTTTAAGGGTGTTTGTAGACATGTGTTTAGCGTGCAGAGCTAATTTTTCACAATTTTTACAAAAAATCTTAAGTATTATAATAGTTTTAAAATTTAAAAAAAATTTTCAATAATAAACCAAATCCAACTTTTTATAGGTTTACTAACCTTTGGAATAAATATATTTAAATAAAATCTGAGAAATTACTAACCAAGGTGGAATTTTAATTTAGAAAAAAACGCCTCATACTTTACATGTATTCATTTTATAATTACATTAAATTACATTGATCATCACTCTTAATTTAAAGAGGTGACTTAAGAAGTACGCAATATACTTCTTCAGTTTTGTTCAATTTTGTACGCAACATACTTCTTCAGTTTATATACTGCTTCAGTTTTGTAGAACTCTCGGTGACACAAAGTATGTTTGTTAACAACTGTTTTCTCTTAACCTGATATAACTGGATTGGTTCTGATTGCTCACCTCACTTTAAACTTGTTGAAACAATTTCATGATTTTGGAAATTGTTCCTAGATTTTCTAGGTTAAGAATAGAAATATACTGATGCTGCTTGGTATTGCGATTTGGATGAGCTATTTCTTGACCAATCAACTTTTAGCCACGCTGTTAACACACTTTATCTGAGCTACAAGTCAATAAAGAATTTTATGCTGATACCAGAAGTCTTCCTAATTAGTAAGAACCAGTTTTTAGCTGGTTCAAGGGTTGTTCTGATCGTATTAAAACATGTACATTGTTTTCTGTACTTATGATTTGGACCGAGTCAAGATATCACATTTTGAATTGCTATTTTTTAATGATGTAAGTGGTATAAATTTCAAAACAAAAATATGGTAAATAAACTAAATACAATAAGATTTTCAATTGTCCACTTCAAGCTAATATGTTAATGAAAGGCAATGGTTGTGTCTTGGAAGAAATGATAACCAAACCTTAGCTAGAAAACATAACTAAAACACCAGAAAACTAGCAAACTTAGCTAGAAAACTAAAACTTAACCAGAAAAAGGAGACCAAAACAACATGATTTGCATTTTAAATTTGTCAAAAAAACAGACAAAACTATTGATATTGATTAAACAGTTGAAAATATTTCAAGAAAATTGGCTAAATAGTTAAAAAAAACTAGATATTTTTGAAATTGTGATTTCAAGCCATACTTTTCCCGTGATTTTCACTTCAAGCCATACTTTTTCCGTGATGTAGAGTTGGTGTAAATGGTTTCAAGTTATACTTTTCTCATGATGTGGAGGTGGTGTATTACATTAATAAAAATGAAATTTTCATGATTTCAAGATTTTGGATCAATTTTGATTCCTCCTTCCATACCTTTGGCCAATGCTGCTACTATAAAAAAGATTTTTGAAGATATGAAGTTATTTATTAAAATAAAATAAAATGCAGTACAACTTTTTTAAAAATCTGTTTGCTGATAATAACTTTTGTTGAATTTTATTTAAATGAAACAGTCAATAGAAATGGGAAAGTCAAGACAGAAAAAACCACTATAGTAAATATGACCACTAAGTAAATATGACCTACACGTACAAACTTGCTTTCTGGAAAATAAATGTTGTATATTAATCCCTTTTACAGCTATCTGAAGTACTTCTTCCACGATTGCACAAAGGTGCCGTCAGAACATTTTTTTACATAGAATGTTATCAGAGCTAACAAAACTCTAATATGATGGGAGATTACTTGGTAGAAAATCAATAATCTAGTGGGCATGCATCGTCCGGGGGGACATCTTTTGGTCGTCTTACGGATGTCTGGACGTCAATGAGACGTCCAGCGGACGTCTTCCGGACGACGCGTGCCCACTACGAAGGACCAATTAGAAGTTAAATTTGCTGGAAAATCTTACATCTTATCCTCATAATAAAATAGTTTTAAATATTTAAATATTTAAAATTTCGTTGCTTTTTAAAATATTTAAATTACATAAGAAAACTAAATTATAGGGCAAAAAAAAAAATTTTTATACTGCCAACTAACTATTATACTTCTTTAAGAAATTCTTTTTAAAAAATTCTTTAAAAAATTCTTTGTTTTTAAAGACTGACTTAAAAGTTGTGGCACAGCAAGTTTTGTTTACCAGTGTTATTTTACGCCAGATGACATTTGCATCAATTAAAAAAGAACCTCTTCAATGAGCACGTTTTTTTTTACAATAAACTTATGTCTTGTTATAAGATTTATTGTGGTATTATATATTCAAGTAACTTTTATATTTATAACTTTATAAACTTTGAAATAGTAAAAACAAAATAAATTTTATAATAATAAAAAATCTTACGCCTCCTAGATACCAAATACATTTTTCAGATTGACATTTATACCGTTTCCCAGTTTTGTTTAAATTTTTTCTTCGTTTTTGTGAGCTCACCATGGAAATAATCATTAAAAGAACAATTGCAAAAATTAACAATCTATTAGGCGTCATATTGCTTAACTAAACAAAATTGAAGTATTCAACAATTATTGTTTTTTTACTTATACTTTTAATTATTAATTGTTAGTATACTAATAAATAATTGTTTTATTACATTGATGTACATAATACTATCCAAAACAACTTTTCACATATTTGGTATTAAAAGTTAAAATTCGATCATTGAATACTACCTTTAAAATTATATAACGTCGGGAATAGTGCAAATCCGCGTAACTAGCTTTAGCTACTATATTTGGATATTAATAATTTTAACACCAAATATCTATTGTTAACATTACAAAAAACATGAATAATACTCTTTATACTAGAATGAACCCAAAATCTGTTGAAATAAAAAATATACATAAAATTTTAACCTTCTCCAGTAAAAAAACTGTACTGTAGACGCGCGGTAATATCCAATGCTAGTTATGCAGTTTTGCACAATCCCTGACGATAAGTTTTTTATCATCATATGTAACATAAAATTATATGCCACACTTTGTTAAAAAATAGTAAATTTGTTCTTATTTAAAATTTTTTTTTTAAAGTTTTAACTTTTACGTTAGTCCAAATATAAGTAAAACGGTTTAAGAAACATAAACGTAAACGATTACGGAGTTTCGTTTGCATAATCGAAACTCCATAACGAAACTCCAATTCAATGAACCTTAATGCACAAATTCACAAACGCCATGCGCCTATTCTAATTTGACAATTTTTTTTTTCTAATGGTAAAACTTAGATAATTTTTTCATTCTGCTCTGCAAACTTTTTTTGATTTGTTATTATAAAATTATATAAAGACGTTGTAAAAAGTTTGTAAAAAGTTACAATTCTTTTACCATTTTTTACCGGATTTGAGAGTCTGGGTTCTATTCTATTACAAATTATAGTATCTAAATACATGGATCCATTTTTACTCTAAGAGAATTTTCAAAACGCATATTTATCAGTTGACTTTTTTCTATTTTTAATATAGATCCGAGTCTATAAAATTTTATTCCTTGAATAAATTTATTTTAAAAAGTTTTTTTTTTATTTATTTATTTATTTTTTATTTATTTGAGTTTTCATGCTATATTTTTCTATACAATGTTTTTATATCCGAAGATATTGTTGGCTTAGCATAGGAACAGCCACAAATAGTCATTAAGACTAATCCAAAGTAGCGTCCGTTATTGACCAACATTTTTGCGTACCGAAGTACTACTCAAACGCTGAGTTGGCGGTTACGGAAATTTGAAATTTTGTAATTATTATTTAATAAATAAGAATTACAAAAGCGAGTTCATTTTATGAAAGTTTTAAACCTTTCTTTTAAATCATAAGGTTTCAATTTTTTACTAAAACATTTAGAGAGCAAAATAGTAAACAACACGGATCCTTGCTTTTGTGCATGGCTTCAACATAATTGGTTGAAGTTCAATTTTAAGTATGAGAAATGCAAAATTCTGCATATAATTTTGAACTGAAGTAATTAAAAATATTGGATAGAATTTAACTAAACAATTGATGATAAACAATCAAAAACATGTGATTTGGATCTATCATAAAAAAACATATATTTATATGATTTTACAGATATGAAAAAGTAGCTACAGGTTTTACAGTTGTTAAATAAAAAAAAGTGAAAAATTTTTATAATTTAAAAACAAAACATTTTACCAGTTCGCATTAAGAATTCGAATTTTGATTGTAAATTGATAAGTTGTGAAACGATAATTAAAAAAAAAAACAACAACTTTGTTAATTAAAGAAAGCTTATAGGTTTCACTTAAGGATAATCACGCTAGATAAAATTAATTGATTTTCTTTATCAACAGAGTCATTAATGGGAGAGGTTGGAGGTCAGTTGCAACACATTTTTAAAAATATATTTATATCCTGTTACTCAACTCTAAAAATATTTTATAAATTTATGAACTAAATATGTCGTTAAATTTACGGGTGGACTTTAAAACCGGCGCAATGGAAACTCGGTAAGTAAGAAGAGTTCCAGATGTCTTATTATTTCTTTACGAAATTCCGTAACTAAAATTTTGACAACTAAACTTTGAGTGTTTTACTGAATGGTAAAACCACGTCATTTTAAAACTTTATTGACACCGCTAACTCCTGTATTCATAAATCCATCGCATACAAATTTTATAAATAAGGATTAGATAGCAAAATGTACTACTTTTGAGTTGTTGAAGATTGTTCAATTTTCTTTTACCTAAAGCCATATTTCAATTAGCAACTGTAACACCTCTAACTTTTAAAATCAGTCAAAATTATCTAAAAAACGACTATTTTGTAATATTAGAAGAAAAGATTGATCAGCCTTTATTCTTTAATGCTTTTAATAAATTCAGCTAGAGTCATTTTGCTTGCAGTTGTTGTAAAGAAGGGAAACGTGAAAACGTGGTTAAGTCTAAAATAATTATTTAGATGAAGGAAGTTGACTTTTTTTTTCTTTACCAAGTTTTGGGAGCGCCGTTTTAAAATCCGTCAATGTGAGCATAGAAAAAGACAATTATCGTCTCTGTTAAAAAAAGTTTTCACATTCTCAAAATCTGATTGCTTAACTTCAATCTGGTTTTCAGAACTTTTTTCAGATTAGAATCATTTTGAGCAAAAGGTTGAAATGCTAGCTAAAAACTTCAAAAGTTCTGCATGATCAAAAAGAAGCCACATTTTTATAAACCATTATAAAATTAACAAGGTCAATTTCAGCAACTCGCATAATCTAATGTACAGTTCTTTATGAAACACACCATCTAAAGATATTAAAGATCTGTAAGATTAAACCCTGATCAAATTACTATAAAAAACAGATCTTTTATCAATTGATTGTTGTCAAAAACTTGAATACATATAAGAAAGAAAAGGACTAAAAGGATCTAAAATATTAAATTTCAGCTGAGCAAGGAATTTAGGTGCTTGTTCATTAAAAAGGGTAGATACTGATAATAACTTTACACATATCAATATAACTCCATCTGTGTAACATCTGTGTCACATCAGTGTCACATCTGATCACATCGTACTATATATGATGTTAATATAATTGTCATTCTGTCAACTTTTAATTCTCCGTACATTAGCCCTTTAATTCTATAAATAAGACCAGATTAATTTTTAAATATAAAGACCAGATTTTATGACCAGATTAATTTTTAAATATAAAGACAACTATCATGAGCTGAAGAGGTGAAATTTGGAGCAAGAATAAGACGAGTTGTTCTTGATTTATATTCAATAAATTAGGTATGTTAGTGGCGGATTAAAACTTCTTGGGGCCCGGGGCTATTTTTGTTTTTGGAGGCCTTTTTATAGGCCAGAGCCTAAAAATGTCCTCTAAAATTTTTTGGGGCCCCTAAATTTGCGGGGTCCAGGGCTTTAGCCCCTAGCCCCCCCGCCCCTTGATCCGGCACTGAGGTATGTGTATAAAATTACAAATTTAAATATTATACTGTATCATTATCATTGGAAAGAGGATTAATACAGTATTTTCAATGTGAAAAAAATCGAAATTGAATAATTCTTTTATAAGTTATGACGGTTTAAGTACCTATTTTTGATAGGATTTATTGAAGGTTTCAATATAGTTTATTGAAGAAACTGCGGTCAAAATAAATTTTTCATAACTTTCTAAATTTTATTGAAATGCATATAAATTAGTATCAATAGATAGGTGTGCTACAAATTTATGTTAAACTCTAAACATCGGGTGGACAGAGAGGGCACCAAACCTACCGGTATGAAACTGAAGATTTTCAGAAAACATTTTTTTTTTGAGAAAGCTCAAATTTTAAATTACAAAAGATTACAAATATCTTTTGTATTTTAAAATTTGAGCTTTCTCAAAAAAAAAATGTTTTCTGAAAATCTTCAGTTTCATACCGGTAGGTTTGGTGCCCTCTCTGTCCACCCGATGTTTAGAGTTTAACATAAATTTGTTATGTTTTAAAATCATTTTTTGAGTATTAAAATTTTGTTTTTGATAATATAAAAGAGTCTTTTTTTTATTAGTATTTTATTTATCTTTTCAAAATAGAATAACGATTAAACTTCAAGAACCAGTTGATAAACAATTAGACAAATTGATGAACAACTAGACAAATCGGTGGACACCAAGATTACTTTTAAACATTATAATAATCTTGAACTCTTACATTTTTTAAACTACCATTTAATGAAAAGTAAGGAAAGATTAAAAATAGTTTATTAACTTTGTATTGAAAAAAAATATATTTGTACTTTAAATTAAATGTAAATGAAATAATACATTTTCCAAGTTATTAATTTTATTTAAAGTTAGCTTTATTTAAATTAAAATAAACACCTACTCCCTCTGTCTCCCAAAACGAATTTTGGTAATATAAAAATTAGGTACCAACAGTGCAGGGGCAGATCTAGAATTTTAAATGGGTGATGCGAAGTTTTTTTGCCGTTTCCCTCTCCCCTCCAACTTCTCTAGAGTTTAAGCATAGTTATTTAAAAAAATAAAGGAACAAGGTGGGGTGGACATGCCCCGGGCAGTTTTTTATGCCCCGGGCATTGCTGTTTATGTCATTGAATAATTGCTTTTGTGCTATCTATTTTTTAAAAGAAATTTTTACAAATATTGCCGTGGCTATTTCGTTCATAAATTAGACATGTAGTTTTAAGTCTAATTTACTTAACAAAGTGCACCAGCGAGAAGGTAAGCCATAGGACTTTGCACTTCATCTGTATACTGTCATTTTGCCTAAGGTTAATCATTCATTTCCGGAGTTTTTCCTTTTCTTGAGAGGGATGTAATGTGAAGTAATGTTGTCTATGGCTAGCCCTCTATTTTTGGATTCTTTTCTTTTCTTGGTAGAAGTTTTTTTTTTTTAATTTTGAACTGTTATTTTTTTAATAATTCTTTCTATATATTTTTTTATTGAAGTTGAATTAATATAAAATAAATATATGCTAATAATCTCTCCCTCTCTCTCTCTCTCTCTCTCTCTCTCTCTCTCTCTCTCTCTCTCTCTCTTTCTATATATATATATATATATATATATATATATATATATATATATATATATATATATATATATATATATATACACACACACACAATATTAGAAAAACTAAATTAGAATTAAGAAAAAACTAAATAAAAGCTGGTATAAATAAAAGCCAAGTCTAAATTCTTTAACTTGACTTTGAAAAAATGTCTGTGGCTATTTCAATATTTAAAAAATTTCTTGATGTATGGACATTAATGCTAAAGATTTCAAACGAGAATAAATCGTATTACTTCTGAAGAATGTTTTTAGCCTACGTATTACTACGTTACTATGGTAAACGTGGATATTGCGCAATCTCGCAACAAACAATTGCGAAAGGTCTCACTTCTTGGATATCAAGATTTTAAGCCAAACTAAGAGTAATAGTTTATCATTCAGTGTGATATATATCAATTTTGTTTCTAATAACAGATTTTTGAAATTAGTTATTTCAAAACAATGCTGAGATCAAAAGATTCAGTTTAAATAATTACAGTGATTGCATTAAAAAAATGTTATTGGTAT